TCCATGCATTTCTTAACTCAATTTATTTTGACCCGTTCAATTTAGCCCATCTATAAGTTGGATTGGTTTGGGCTAAATATGTAGCCCAACTGAACCACGAGAAAACTTGTCAAAAGATTTGTTTAAAAGAACTTTTTTGTTTTGTTTGACATCATGATATGTTATAGTTAGGGGTTTGGGCATTGTATGACAACCTAAACTAATAAATGGCATAAAAAAGCGCAACTTATTGTTATTGGCATCTTATGGCCTGCATTTGTGTTTTAATTTAAAAAAATAATTTTGTATAATAAATTAGGTTAGACCTTCTCCCCGTAAATTACTCTCTCTCTCTCTCTCTCTCTCTCTCTCTCTCTCTCTCTCTCCTCCATATCTCTTCGTTCTCTCTCTTGACACCAGAATTTTTTAGAGCAATTGGCATAAATAAATGCCCAAAAGAATGAATCAACCATGAAACTGAATTCTCGTCGCCCGTTTTCGAAGTTGTCACAAATTTTTTTTCACTCTCACTTAGCATTAATGGACGAAATCAGGCCAACTTTCTACAAATTTGCACAAAAAGATTGTCTAGAAAAAGAAATATTCTGTTTTGAATCGAAAGAGGAATGAATTTGGGTGACTATACACATTCCAAGTTTTTTGAACTATTGAATTTGGGTGAATACAGATCTCAGTGTATATCAACTGATATATCAATATATATCAGTTTGTATATCTGTTTATTTCATGTATATCATGCATATTTGTATACATGTCTATGTATATCAATGAAAATATTGTGTGATATACACTCATGCAATGTGATATATATGTCTATATATATCAATAAAAATCTTGTGTGATATACACACTGATATATAACAGCCAAAATACGTATTGGTGATTATTTGCGAAATGTATTCACAATTTTATTGTCGCTCTTTGTGTATATCAAAATGAATATTAAATTTTATTTTCCTTCTTTGTATATCCAAAGTATGAATTTATAAATATAGTTATTCAAACTGTTATCTCTATACTAATGTATATCATAATAAAAAAAATTATATTATTTGTATATCACATTGTATAACATATCAAATAATGTGTATACCAAATATATATATCATAAATTTATTTTCCTTCTTTGTGTATATCAAAAAATTATTTTCATCTTTGTATATCAAAAATTTATTTACTCCCACAATTATATTTATTATTTTTATGTCTTAGAAATTGCTCTAAACTTATATACATTGCTACAGTGAAGAAAAAAATAAAAAATCAGAAAAGGGATACAAAGAGATTCTGGAAAAAAATTTAGATACTTTTAAAAGGAAATAAAACATAATTTTTAGAAGGATGGTTGCAACCAATTAGAAGAGAGAAGAGAAGATAGATTCTTTAATAAAGAAAACTAAAGAGAATAAGGCACCATTTATGGAAGAAGATACGGAATACAGTAGTGGGAAAACGGTTGCCTTACATGATGCACGACGAAGTAATGGAGAGAAGAGACAGAGAGCGGTTCTTATTGCTATTTTTAAGGAAAATAACTTTGGTTATTGGGTGCCAAATTTTTTTGGGCTACTATTGCCAAACCTAATATAAGGCCAAAAAATTGCCAATTCTCTTTATGTGTTGTCATACCATGCCATTTTCTCTATGTTATATATATAAATATGATACAGAAAAAAATATTAACTTTATGTGGTAACAAAACCAATTTTAAGAAGAAGAATAACTAAAACTTGATATGAGTTGACAGATTGGGCATATTATTTGTTTAGCCCGTCTTAACCCCGCCCAAGCAACTAAGAAGTATTTGGACAAATTGGGTTACAACTTAAAGTTGTGGGCTCTTGCATTTGATATGTGGTCCATTACAAACTTTTTAAAAATTTATATAATATTTCTCAAAAGATTTTATTTTTTAACGTAAGATATCTGAAATAAAACACTAGAGATCTTTGCAAAATTATTTTGTTATATTCAAATTGAAAAGGGTTAATGTTAAATCATTTCCTCTTCAAAAAGGCAGCTAACTTGGATTTTGTACTCCTGAAACAAATGCACGTAGTCAGCCATGTACTACTTAGCTATCTTGTGCTTAGGCTGGGAATAAATCAGTAGAAATGACACCAGGTAGCCACTCTAAAGGTCTACTATTTAAGAATTAGTCAACATGTTTTGAATTTTAATTTTTCATTTCAATTTTTCAGGACAAAAATATTTTGAATTATCCTGAATTAGTTTTAAATTTCAGGACAAAATAAATATTGGCTAATTTCTAAATAGCATCCCTAAAAATGACTATCTATGCACTTGCCCCAATAAATCAACTACTCTAAAGGGCTACTATTTAGGAATTAGTCGGTGCGTCCTGAATTTCAGTTTTCCAGTTCAATTTTTGGAACAAAAATGCTATGAATTATCCTGAAGTTAAGATTTTTAATTTAAAATTTCAGGACAAAATAAGTGATGGCTAATCTTTAAATAGCATACCCGAGAATGGCTATCGATGCACTTGCCCCTCACTATTTGACTTTGCTACAATTTGAATCCTAATCTCCATAATTTTTAACCACCTCATCTAGCCATACCATTAAGTAATACTCAGACTTGCGTCTTCTATTTCTTCAATTCATCTAACCATCAAACCTACAACATTGATATCAATATCATCACTATAGATCAATCAACAAAGCAAACTTCTTTCACAACTTTTCTCATAAATTCCTACCAAACATATGATAACCAGCTTTGATGCAATATAACAGGGTTAAATATCAGAAGTAAGAAGGGTTGATCTGGGCAGAAACCACTGGCGGAGGCAGAATTTTCTACTAAGGAGATTCGAGAAAAAGGTTAAAATATATAATATATAGAGGCAGAAAACGAATTTTGCCTTATATATACATTGTAATTTTCCGGCGAAGGAGGATGAACCCCCTTCGGCCCCCCTAAATCCGCCCCTGGCAGAAGCTATCAAATTTTTTTCATGTATTTGCTGCTCCTTCAGCATAGAAACTTTACTAACATTCACAGTTCAGACAAGAACAACAGCGGAGAACACTTGAGAAGTGATGTAGGCACACAAATGACAGATTAAGGAAACATTAGACTACAAAAGCAAGAAAATAAAGTCTCCATCTTATAAAATTATGTACTGAATTACACTAATCCTAAAAACTCTGCAAATACAGGATATCAGAGAATAGATAACAAATTTAGAGGTCCAGAGAATTAATCATGAGAGAAAAGCTTTGGCATGGGAATGCAGACAACACTCACAAATAGACACATGCTTCCTGGTTAGGTATGAACACACTTTAATTAGCACTGCAGAAAGTGTAACCAAATTAAGGCGAGTTTAAAAAGGTACCTATGTAACATAATGACCTGTTTGAAGAATGGAACAAGACCTAATAAGTTAACAATCACATAAACACATGCTGCGAAAGAACATGGGAATGCCTAAAACACCCAGAAATAGATATGTATTGGGTGATACCCTTTTTTGCTTGAGCCCGACCGGGTTGGGTCCGGTCCGGGGCAAGTAGGGGCCATCGAACCCGACCTGGATGCAAGGTAGAACGACGGCCACGTCTACAACCGAGGTCGAGTCATTTCGAGACCGTTGCAGAGCTCGATATGAGTCACCACCGGATGGAGAAACACACAAGGTCGGAAGCCGGACTCGTAACGGATAACCAAGCGTCGCCGGATATCTCGCCCAAACGTGATTTTCTCAACCACTTCAGGCCATTAAGGCGTAATTACAGGGATCCACGATGTAATTAATTTACCTACCTTATTTTTACCCTTAATCAGAATGTATAAAAGGGGAGCTCTCTAAAAATTCTTGGAGGCTATCAAGCACAATTGTTCTAAGCAATATTATATTCTGCGATTATTTACTTTAACAGCAATTGTTGAGTCTTTATCTTTATTTTTCCTCAACCTAAACCTTTTGTATCTTTTAGTTCACGGATCCTTAAAACCCCATATAAATTCAATTGTTATCCGGATTCTAGGGTAAACAAGATACAAACACACTTAAATTAGCGCTGCAGAAAATTTCACCAAATTAAGGCAAGTTTAAGTGAAAGTAGCAGTTCAAGTTCAAACATCTATATCTGAAAAGAGAAACAATCCAAACAGTAAGATCATAAACTCCAGCATCAAATTGTAGCTGATAGGGAATATTCACAGAGAACCTTAGGTTGAAACATAATACATGGTGATCATTTGTAAAAGAATGACTATCAAATGATTGAATGATGTTTCTTTACTCCACACAACACTTGGTTGACATAGATAAGAAGTACATCTATTTAGCAGAAGACCGAAGATACTTCTTATTATCAAACAATCACTACTTCACAAACTTGCTTGCTCACTATCAAAAACAACCACAATTCCACAAATACCACAGGGCTAGTAGTTTCCTTTTAGCATCTAACGGAAAACCTTCTGTGACCCACCTACGCTTTATTACTTGGAGCATGAACAGCACCAAGCCATGTCAAAACGCTTGATGTTCCAAAACATTGAATGATTGTGATCATCAAATGATTGAATGTTGTTTACTTTACTGCATAGAAGACATGGTTTATATAAGAAATATCTATTTAGCAGACGGCAGATATTTCTAGCTTGCTATCAGACAATCACCAAATAACAAACTTCCTTGTTTTTTTGGCAAAAGATCATGAAACTTCACAAAGCTAAGAGTTCTATTTTAACAGCTCAAGCAAAACCCTCTCTGATGCACTTGGGCTTATCCCTCAAGAATGAGCACCAATAAGCCATGTGAAATACTATATTCCAACAGATTATGGAATTTCATGATACATCTGATGTCCTCAACTTCTATCACATTGCTAGCAAAAGAATAATTAAACCTTCAACCAACATTCAAGTACTCAACCATGTATAATGTAAAAACGCACTCATACTGAAAATAAAAACTATAGCTTTGATTAAACACCAGAATCAAAATACTAAACAAGCATAAATGATAGTAACACATGTCAACTAATATTTGATTAGAAGAAATCTTGATTCTTACATAAAATGATGAGATAGTATACATCATCTCATACATCAACAACACCAGAACTTCCATCATAATAGGACAACACGGAACTGAAAGTTCCCTCTAATTTTACATGTCAATGTATATAAATGTGACTTCAACTGACAATAAAGGACTCAATTATCCCAGAACATATATATAGTTGAAAACACATAATCAGATCAATTATCAGGCACACACTGATCCATCCATCATGAAATAACATGACATTAAATAGGACAAGTAAATTGAAGAGTTCAAATCTCTTCCAACAGACTCATATCAATAGCCTTAAAGCTATGATCTTTTTTTCTTTCCACCCCTTTTTTCTCAAGATCAATAGTTAAATAAACAAGAGAAACCAAATGGGGCTTTTTCAAATAATTAACAGATCCAAATTTCGAAACCATATTCCATCAAAGACATAATGCTGTGCAGTGAAGATCATCAGAATCAGCATCCATCGGCGGAGGAAAGTTGAGATCGAAAGGCAACGGCTTCCGGAAAACTGAGGAAACGATATTATCATTTTCATTGTCACAATCGCCGTCTTCAACAACAGAAGACGACGAGTCACAATCACTCCGGCAGTCGTCCGGCACGACCGGCGGCGACCGAGGATGTTTTCTCGAAGGCAACACCGCCGTTTGCTGACGTGGCGGCGGCCTGGGCCCACTGAAGGATTCTACGGTACTACTCATGCTGCTCGATGTAGGTCTTTGAATAACAATCGGGTGATTTTCCTGTGAGTACAATCTCGGGTCAATAAACGGGTCGTTAGGGTTTACGGTTTGATTGAAGTGAGAATACGGCGGTAAAGGGAAATTAGTTTTTGCTTTAGGTCCCCGAAGAGTACGAGCTGCAGCGTCATAAGCTTTAGCGGCTTCTTCAGCTGAATCGAAAGTGCCGAGCCAAACCCTAGTTTTCTTCCACGGGTCTCTAATCTCCGCCGCAAATCTTCCCCATGGCCGTTTTCTGACACCACGAAACCTAATCTCTTTTAATCCTCCAGATCCAGCCGCCGGTGCAGCCTCTGCCGCTTGCTTCGCCGCCGCGGTTGCTCTACCTCTCCGCATCGTCACAAGTCAAAAAAACAGCAAAAAACTTACCCCTTTGAGACCGATTAGAGCCAATCAAAGAACAAATAGCAGCAGAAGATTAGCTTCCCTTCCGAAAGCGCTCACTTTCTCTCTCTAGAACTCAGCTTTTTTCTCTCTCTACTGTTTGTGGTGTGTTTGGGTGAGAGAAAGGAGAGAGAAATAGGGGCTGTTTGTTTTCATTTGTTTATTTTAAATTTTTCTCTTAGAAGTTTAATATAAGGGGGGTTTTATATAATTTGATTTCGGAGGGAGGAATTGGTGTGGAAAGTGGGAAAAAAACGCGGGGAAAAAGGAGCGGAGGGGGGGGGGGGGGGGGTTGATTTGGGTAAATCTTAGTTGGATTTCTCAATTTTCTTTATTGTTTTCCTTTTTCTCACGCTCATTTCTCTCTTTGTTTTGTTTATTGTTTATATGGAATGACAATATTGCCCATAACATGTTCCTTTTTTACTAATTCCACTAGTGAGTAGTTAGTGTAGTAGTAAATTTTAACTATTAAGGATTACGGTGAGATTGATATGATTCCTTCTGGTTTAGATGTTTTAGATTCGAGGTTTAAACATGGGGAAGAAATTTGTTGAGAGAAGTGGAGTTAGTAAACTATGGTTAGCTAGCTGGAGTTAGTTAATCTAATTAATGTAGTTAGTTAGGCGGTTAGTGTATGTAAAGTGTATAAGTACACAGTAGGAGCTAATGTACAGATTACACAGTTCATTTTTCTTCTTTTCAATGAAACAGTTACTCTGTTCTTCTTCCTAGCATTCTCTCTAAGCTAACTCTAGATCTGAGAACCTCCATAACCATAGAAGCTAACATGGTATCGACCTAAGATCTATAATCGAAGCTTAGTTCCTCGCTCATCTGTGTGTATGTGTGTTACTGTAATTCAGCTGAAGTGTCTTAAGGTAACAACACCTCTGAGCTAGGGTTCTGTTCAATTTGACCTCTGAAAAACTTCATCAATGGCGATAGAAGATGAAACAAGCGAGAGTGCTTCTAGACGTGCGAATGTACCAGTTGCACCAGCTATTTTCCCTACGATAGATCACAATCATCCTCTATTCCTTCAACTGACAGATACTCCAGGTAGCTCATTTATCTCTCTTCAGCTAACTGGATCGGATAACTATGCTTTGTGGAGTCGATCTATGAGAATAGGCTTGTTAGGTAAAAGTAAACTAGGATTTGTGGATGGTAGACATCCAAAATCTAAGTTCGAACCTGAATTTCATGAGTAATGGGAAAAGGTAAATGCTGTAGTACTCTTGTGGATTATGAATGTTGTGCGTCCAGGATTGTTGAGCACTGTAGTGTATGCTTCCAATGCCACAAGGTATGGGAAGATCTGAAGGAAAGATTTGACAAAGTGAATGGATCTAGGGTTTTGTACTTGCATAGAGAGATCTATACACTAACACGGGGAACAATGAGTGTAGCTGATTATTTCTCGAAACTAAGAGATCTATGGGATGAGTTTGATGCACTCATGCCCTGTCCTAGTTGTCCTTGTTCAGAGTCAAAGAAATATGCTGAGCACTTTGAATATCATAGGTTACTCCAGTTCCTTAGACTGAATGACTCTTATTCTCAACCTAGAAGCCAAATCATGATGATGACACCAGTGCCCAGCATTAACAAGGCATATTCTCTCCTTATGGGTGTGGAAAGTCAGAGAAACCTGGAAAACTTTACGCAAATGGTGCAAGTAACAGAAGCTAATGACAGTACTGCTATGTATGGCAACAAAAATCCAAACTCTGGCACTGGACAGTTTAGAGCTCAGAAGAAGACACTGATTTGTGATTATTGTAACTACTAAGGGTATCCTCAAGATTTCAAGTCCAACTTTAAGACAAAGAAGAAGGGAGGTAATCCAGGAGCATATGCTAATCATGTCAATACCAACTATAGTCCTACTATGCAAAATGCTCATATGCAGATGCAGTTTGGAGGTTTACAGGGTGGGACTCCTACTACACCTGGTTTTCAGTCTCACCAAATGCTGATGAATGCTGTACTAACTGGAGTCCAGTCTCAGCATTAAGCAGCTCCCTAGTTTACACAGGAGCAATATCAACAGATAGTGCAACTACTTAACAAGAGGAACAGATGAAGGCCCTTCTGCCAGAGCTGCAACTGCAGGTAAACTGTTAGCTCTGTTATCCAATTGTGCTAATCCCAATTGGATAATAGACTCTGGAGCCTCAAATCACATGACATCCACACTAGAAATGTTAAGTTCCTATCAGTCAATTTCCTCTCAAAAGGGAAGTAAGGTTCACCTGCCAACAGGAGTTGTTGCCTTTAATACACATATAGGAAAAACAAGAGTGCTTAACAATCAGGAGATCAACAATGTATTGTACATTCCAGAATTTAAGTACAATCTACTGTCAGTGTCTAAACTGACCAAAGAGTTGCAGTGTCTTGTGGCATTTTTTCCTGACTTCTGTATCTTCCAGGATCTCTACAGTGGTCAGGTAAAGGGGATTGGTAAGGAGGACAAGGGATTGTACCTGCTACAAGGCAAGTCATTACTAGGTGGTATATTCAATCATGATCCAGCTCAACAAAGGAATAAAAGTGTGCAGCAAGAACCTGAGGTGAAATCTGTATATAAGTCTACTAGATCTGAGAATAAGTCTGCTTGTATGGCTAGTGAACAGTCTGAATCTAGTATACTGTGGCATAAAAGATTAGGTCATGCACCTATAGATGTAATCAAGAAGTACACAACTCTAAAAGATTTGAAGGATCATCACACACACTGCACTGTCTGTCCTTTAGCCAAGCAGACAAAGTTACCTTACAAGCTAAGTACTACTACTTCAAATGCTATCTTTGAACTAATTCATTGTGATGTATGGGGGCCATATAGAGTACCTACATATGATAGTAAAAGACTTTTTGTTACTATTGTAGATGATTTTCCAGATTTACTTGGACTTTCTTACTTGTTTCTAAGTCTGATACAGTGGTTGTCCTCAAAGAGTTTCTAACAAAGGTGAAGAATGTATTTTCCACTGCAGTTAAGACTCTCAGAACTGACAATGGTAGTGGATTCTTTAACCAAGAAGTTCACAGTTTACTGTCATCCCTGGGCCTCATTCATCAAAGTACATGCACCTATACACCTCAGCAAAATGGAGTTGCTGAGAGGAGGCACAGGACTATTCTAGAAGTGGCCAGAGCTTTGAGGTTTCAAGCTGTTGTGCCTTTGAGATTCTGGGGAGATTGTATATCTACAGCTGTTTACTTGCTCAACTGACTTCCTTCAAGAGTCATTGGTGGCAAGTCACCCTTTGAGATGCTTTATTTGCATGCTCCCAACCTCACTCATCTTAGAGTATTTGGCTGTTTGTGCTATGTAACTTCACCCAAGGAGCTGGACAAATTTGCTTCCAGAGCAGTACCTGGTGCATTTCTAGGCTATTCCTCAACTCAGAAGGGATATAAAGTCTATGATCTTCACTCAAGAACCTTCCTTGTAAGCAGAAATGCAGTGTTTAAGGAAAATATCTTTCCATTCAAATGCTCACAAACTTCTGGCACACCTATGTTTCCTGTTCTAGATCTCCTTCATACAGTCACTGAAATACATCCTGCACCCGAATCTTATGATACACCTATGAGTCCACAAACAGACACATATCCAACAGACATACACCTCTCAGAGGAACCTCTCTCCTTAGCTCCTTCTCTTCATCCCTCTCCTTTGATAGAAGAAACCAATACCTCTGTGAGTGTGAGAAGATCATCCAGACCTAGTTGACCTCCTTTGTGGTTGCAAGATTATGTGACTCATGTCTCCTCTCACACCTGCCTGTATCCTATCTCCTCATGTGTTTCCTACAATGCACTCAAACCTGCTCACCTATATGCCCTATCCTCCTACTCCTCTATTACTGAACCAAAGTCCTTTAAAGAAGCAGCCTCAGATCCCAAATGGATTGCAGTTATGAAGCTTGAAATAGCTGCTCTAGAAACCAATCACACATGGAGTATTGTGGATCTGCCTGCTGGAAAAATTCCCATTGGATGCAAATGGATTTTTAAGATAAAGTTCAAGGCTTCAAGGGAAGTTGAGAGATACAAGGCAAGACTGGTGGCCAAGGGCTACAGCCAGAAAGAAGGCCTTGACTACTCAGAAACCTTTTCTCCTGTAGCCAAGATGGTTACTGTGAGTACTATCATTGCCTTAGCAGACTTAACTAACAAAGGGCTTGGGCAAGTCTCAACATGACTACCTTCTGAACAAGCTCGGAGTGAAGAACCTCTTCAAGCCTTCAGCTTGAGGGGGAGTGTTGAGAGAAGTGGAGTTAGTAAACTATGATTAGCTAGCTGGAGTTAGTTAATCTAATTAATGTAGTTAGTTAGGCGGTTAGTGTATGTAAAGTGTATAAGTACACAGTAGGACCTAATGTACAGATTACACAGTTCATTTTTCTTCTTTTCAATGAAACAGTTACTCTGTTCTTCTTCCTAGCATTCTCTCTAAGCTAACTCTAGATCTGAGAACCTCCGTAACCATGGAAGCTAACAAAATCCAATAGAGAATACTTTGATCTTTAACGAATTTTATACTATACGAATTTAGATGCCAAAGTAAATATTGGACACGAAGTAAGAAATCAATTAGAGATCTAAGGTTCAAGTCCTATAAATTTGAAAAACATCTAATAAAGAGTACTTTCCACTTTAATGAGCTTTACACGGCATGAATTCAAATTAGTCCAGTGTCAAAGTAAATATCAAACACCGAGTAGAAACAAAAAAGTACTTTGATAGTAATTTTTGTTGAGTCCCACATCGGTGGATGTGGGAGGCCATTTGTCTCGTTGAGCAATCCTCACCTCAGAGCTAGCTTTTAGTGTTGAGTTAGGTCCAATGTTCATTTATCATGATATCAAAGCCATATTATATCTTCTTCTTCTTCCTCATTTCTAAAGTTCTTACTCACAGTAATTCGGCTACAACTTCATGTTATCAGATTCAGGCCCACCTCAATTTATTGTTATCGATGTTGAGCCCTCATTTATATTGCTCATGCTACAGTTTGCAGGCCTGGGCGTGAGGGAAGTGGCGAAGCCAGAAAATTCAATAAGGGTGTTCAAATTTTTAACACCCTTTGCTAGTGGGCTATGCAAGGGTGTTCAAAGTCTATTTTTAATCAATAACAAGTAATATTTTACCTTATGCGTAATATAAATTTTCGACGAAGGGTGGTCAGTTGACCACCCTGGGGCTAACATAGCTTCGCCCTTGCGTGAGGGGGTTATTGAGTCCCATATTGGTGGGTGTGGGAGGCCATTTGTCTCCTTATATGGTCTTGGACAATTCTCACCTCACGAGCTAGCTTTTGGGCTTGAGTTAAGCCCAATGTCCATTTATCATGATATTAAAGTCGCATTATATCTTCTTCTTCTTCCTCTTTTCTAGGGTTCTTAATCATAGTAATTCAGCTACAATTTCATGGTATCATGCAAGGCCTACCTCAATTTATTGTTATGGATATTAGGCCTCTATTTATGTTGCTCACACTCCAGTTTGCAAGCCTAGGCGTGAGTGGGTGTTGCATCCCACATCAGTGGGTGTGAGAGCTATTTGTCTCCTTGTGCGGTCTTGAGCAATCCTTACCTCATGAGCTAGCTTTTGGGTTGAGTTTGGTCCAATATCCATTTATCAAACTTTTTAATCCAACCGTTTCAATATTTTCTTTTTTCTCTTAATTAAAAAAAATAGGGAAATACAATAAGCCGGTGAATAAATGAAGATGAGAAGTAAAAGAAAAATTATATTTAGTGAAATAATATTTGAGCCCTACATTTGAATGGTGCTAAGGTGAAACTGTAAAAAGTACTAGTAACAATTATTATAGGCAAAATACATAATCTACCCATCAAACTTAGGACCAAATTCCTCTTACACACCTGTTGAACACGGGTTTTATTTTACACACCAAACCTTTCAAAAGTGTGTCAATTACACACTACTTTTGACCAGCCCCTTTAATATTTAATGCGTTGTATACACGCGCTCTTATAAATTAAAAAAAAAAACAACGATTCTTTATAATTAAAATAGATTATCCGACCCTTTTCTTAATTCCGACCCATGAAAGATCCAACCCGGTAAGTTAAAAACACCTACACGACCAAATTAACAAACATAAACCCATTTTCCAAGTCCTGTTCTTCATCCCTAAAACTATGAAGATAATCTGACGAGAAGACATCTGGTTGTTGCTGTTTCTTCTTCAGTTTTTCAGGTTAGTATTCACATTTTAAGGTTGTTCAACCCTTTTGATTTGGATGGGTGGGTCGAAATAGTTAGGGTTTATTTGGGTATTTCATCAGGAGTAATTTTAGGGTTTAAGACATCTTTATGGGGAATCTATTGTCATTGTCTACTGAAACCTTTGTGTTTTGAGCATGTGTTGTCTTTTTCTTTCTTTATGTTGTTTGGTTCCTTGAAAGAAGAAAAAGATGAAATAAGAGGGAGATGAAGAATTGGGGCAGAAAATGGGTTAAAGAAAATGGGCCCAAATTTTAGTAAATAGCCGTTGTAATTAGTCAGTGAAGGCAGAAAGTAACTATTCACGCGCCCCATTGGTCGTGTTTCACACGCCCCAGAGGCTAGTCAAAAGTAGTGTGTAATTGACACACTTTTGAAAGATTTGGTGTGTAAAATAAAACCCGTGTTCAACAGATGCGTAAGAGTGATTTGGTCCTAAGTTTGATATTTTGCCTTTTCGTTTTATATAAGCATCTGAAAAGTAATTTAAGTAAAAAGTAAAGAAAACAACATTGGCGGGAAAGATTCGACTCTAACGGTAAGCAGGAAGCTGACAAAATAAAGAGATCGAAATAAGAGAATCAGAAAAATAATAGACGCGTCGTAATTATTTAATTGAAACGTTATTCAATTTGTTCAACAATAATCCTATCACTTTCATATATACACACATAATTATAGATCTTCTCTCCATCTAACAACCCCCTCAAAGTCTTTATCAACCAAAAAATTTCAGTCTTTTTTAAATATATATTTTATAAAACTTCTTCTCTCCTTAGAAAAACACAAGATCAAGAATCATTCACTCATTATTACATTGTTACGATTTGTAATCTTAGAAACATTCTTATAGAATTTTTTTTTTGATTGATTTGGGAAATGGGGAGTTATAATTATTACAGAATGTTCGGGTGTTTTAACCGGAAATTTAAGATAAGGGAGACGGAGCCGCCGCCGGAGGTGAGGGAAGCGTTTTCACGGTACACCGGAAGAGGGACCCACATGAACGCCGATCAGCTTCTCCGTTTTCTAGTGGAGGTTCAAGGAGAGGAAGATGCCACCGTTAAAGATGCGGAGCAAATTATACAGCAAGTTGTTAATCGCCGGCACCATTTGATTAGGCGGCTTAACCATTCTTTTGAGCTTGAAGATTTCTTTTATTTCCTTTTTCAGGATGATCTCAATGGACCCATCAAATCTCAGGTTTTTGTTACGTCACCATACCCATTTACTTTTGCAGTTACATTTTGGGGGAAAAAGAATTTTGTGGACCACCATATTAAGTTCATTCAATATATAGCTAGAGTTACAATAAAACAGTTTTTAGCATATACTGTTCCACTAAACTTGGACAGTTTTTCATTTTTTGTTATAGTCTTGTTAGAGATTTACGCACTAGTAGAAAAATTTAGAGAAGCTGGAGAATTTTGTTTTATATTATACTATTGGACTAAGATCGACGAGCTAAAATGAAGCAACATGAACAGTCGACCCCAATTGCTGGGATGGGAGAGAGTCTGATAGGGATGGCAATGGGGCGGTACGGGTGCGGGGCGGGTTTGAACGTTGGCGGGGCGGTGCGGGTTTGAGAATTTGCGGTTGCGGGGGGGGGGGGGCGGTTCGAATTTTTAAATTAAAAAAAAAAAAAAAACGTTAACACGGGGCGGGGCGGGGCGGGGCTCGGGTGTGGATTTAATACATAGTACAGTGATCCTCTATTAGGTGCTTCACTTAGGATATTCACTTTCAACTTTCTTTGCCTATTGAAACAGTTCCCATTCGAAACATTATCTCAACTGTAGCATTTAAAAATCCATACTCCATTTTCTTTATTTAAATGAAAAAGATTCATTTGCTGCTCTAATTATCTAAATGAATGGTTAATTTTGACATCCCAATTGCTGGGATTGAGGAGTTGTTGTTGTTGGGAGAGAGAGAAGACTAAACTTCTAGAGATGGTCTAGATTAATCAAT